TGGGTGTGCACACCTTGTTTCTAGGCTTCACAAGCTCAAACTCGGCACGTCTGCCTGGAAGGTACTCATCACCTAGGGAACTGAAATTACTAGGTGAAGTTGAACAAGGCGGCCAGCAGATGGCAGCCTCCTTTGACCAAAGCCTGGCTAGAGCTCTTCTGACACAGAAACAAACGGAGCCTGGCCTGAAAACGATTGTGGGCATCCCCGGTAACCCCCAGGGTGTCCAGACAAGGCAGCGGGCTGATCTCTGTCGTGGTTTGGACTGCGCCATCTAGCCACCGCCGCCAGCGGGAGGAGGGCCAGAGGCCCCGCGGGAGGGTCACTGCCAAGGCTTTTGACCGAGCTGATGTCGGTGGGCCCCACGGTTGGCTCATGTGAAGCGGGGAGGAGGGACTTTCTCCCAGTCCGTCTCTACCACCCGGGACCTAGGGTTATTGGATTTTTTTCTCACCTCGCGGAAAAGAATTTCAGGAGTAGATGAGCAGTGAAGGAAAACCAGATTTTATTTGGAGGTCTTTGAAGGGAAGGAGGAAGAGAAAGTGGGAGAGAGTGGAGAGTAACGTGCTTGAGAGAACCCAGGCTTCTCCAAGGGCAGAGAGAGGCCCCCCACACCCCAATACTAGATATGGAAGCATGAACGTCTACATCTCAAGAAGAGACATGCAGGTGACACAGGTGCTCAGGCATTACGTGGACACAAGCGGCACCTGGGCTCGGGCAGCATATGCGCCCTTCCTTTGTTCAAGGTGGCCTTTATAGGGTTTCTCCAACCTGCTCCCACGTGGGGCTTCTACCTAGGTCAAAATCCATTGCTAAGGAGGTTACCAAGGGGGGGGGGAGGTTGGGAGTGGTCAATGGTCTTCCTGGAAATTCCTTTCTGGCCTTCTGTTACTGCTGGAGCTGATGTCCGAGGGCTGTCCAGCCTTCTCTGGGTCCGCTGCTGGTGTGTGAAAGTCTTACCAGGCCTCAGTTCCTGTTTTCTGCAAGGTTGGCTTTTTGCAACTTCAGAGACACTGAGGGCTGGAGCGATAGCACAGCAGTAGGGCATTTGCCTTACAAGCAGCCAACATGGCCGACCCAAGTTCGATTCCTCCGCCCCTCTCCGAGAGCCCGGCAAGCTACCGAGAGTATCTCACCCGCACGGCAGAGCCTGGCAAGCCACCCATGATGTATTCGATATGCCAGACACAGTAACAACAAAGTCTCCAATGGAGACGTTACTGGGCCTGCTCGAGCAAATCGATGAACAACGGGAGGACAGTGACAGTGACAGAGACACTGATATTATTTCCCTGGAAATTCATTGCCATTACTGTGAGGAAGGGGATTCCTTCTCTAGCTGCCTGCCTGCATTAAGCCACTCCTGGGACAGGGGATGACCTGGGAAAAAGTCACTCAATGCTTCCTTCCTTTCTTTCATTTTTTTTTTTTTGCTTTTTGGGTCACACCCGGCATTGCACAGGGGTTACTCCTGGCTCATGCACTCAGGAATTATTCCTGGAGGTGCTCAGGGGACCATATGGGATGCTGGGAATCGAACCCGGGTTGGCCGCGTGCAAGGCAAACGCCCTACCCGCTGTGCTATTGCTCCAGCCCCACAATGCTTGCTTTCTAATGGTGAGGAAAATAGGCTCGGTTCATAATGTCAGACAGGCTTGCTTCGGCTTGGCTAGCACCTAGAGCCAGGAGCTGGCACTTTGGAGAGGCAGTTGAGACTGGATGAGATTACAAACGAGCGTGGAGTGCTTTCAGGCTGTCCTTCAGATAATCAGTGTCACTCTGTAGCCTTGGAAACCTGGGAACAGAATACCAAGTGTGCTCAGGGCCTCAAGGTGGTCCACACGTTGCTTTGCAAAATAACAAGCTTTGGATTCCGGCTTGGTCCTCTGCTGCTGGCTGCCCGCAAGCGCCCCGCCCCCAGCAGACAGGTGGGAAACCGAACTTCTGCCTTGTTCTGACCCCAGCACTGGAGCCCAAGCTCCCTGGGTCCAGAGCCTGGTTTCACAGGGCAGCTTGCTAAGGTCATCTCGGGCCCCAGCATGTGTGATATGGTGGGAAAAGGGTGTGGCTCGGGACCCAGTTGCCAGTGGGTGTGGAAGTGCAAGGCTGCAGGAACCCCTCCTAGGCTCAGGCTCCACGTCTGCAGGAACTGTCTCCCCACCTGCGCCGTTCCCAGCTCCGGAAGCCCCTCCTCCTGGAACGGCCTCCCGTCTGTGTCTGGGGGGCCAGAGAGGCCGTCCCTCCCTGAGCCCAAGCACCTCCCCCTGCCCCCTTGGAGTTGGGGCCTTGCTCTGTGACGCCACATGGTGACAGAGTCAAGGCTTTGGCACTCAGTGTCCCTCAGGGCCCCAGGGAGCGGCTCCCCTCTTAGCTGTTCCCTGCGGTCCCCGAGGATTTCCACCCTTAGCCTATGCTCAGGCCTCTCACAGGGGCTCCAGGCGGGCACTGCCCACAGCCTCAACCTGCTCTTTCCCAGTAGGCTGGCACGCGGGGCATAGTGGAGGTCCGAGGAAGGGTGGCGTGTCGTTCTTGTTTCTCTCCTGGGCACCCTCTGAGTTTGTTCCCAGGGTGAATCTGGCTGGGGCCAGCCCTGGGCTGTGATAGTATCATGCCACTTGGGCTGACTGGCAGTGTGGGGGGCTCTCACTGGCTGGCCTGGGGCTCCAAGGCTCCACACCCGTGCCCCGTGTCCTGCCCCAGGGTGTCCTGCCCCAGGCTGTCTTACCCCCAGGCTGTCCTGCCCCCAGGCTGTCCTGCCCCCAGAGTGTCCTGCCACCCCCTTCTGGCCCCTGACAAGCTGCTCACCAGGGCAGCTGTGTCTGCAAGTCTCTGCCATAGCCGGGCGGCGGAGGGGCGTGGAAGTCCTCCCGGGGTCCTTCCCACGGCCCACTTGCCCCGCTTTGCCTCCTGAGGGGCGCAGGCCACAGGGCAGAGTGCAGTTCTGCCAGCGTCAGTGGCTAGAGCTGCCTCCCAGTTCTTCTCCCACGCACCCACTCCCAAGGGTCCCACCCTGGGTGCCGGCTGCACCTTCAGGCCATCTGGATCACGGTGTGGGGGGCTCAGAGCAGGACCCTCCCCGGAACCCCTGCAGCTCCGGCTCCCTGCTTTTCTGGTCAGCTGGGCACTTGGGGGCTGGAGGGACACGCTCCCTTAGTGCTATTCCTGCCTGTGGGTCTCAGGGTCGCACTCAGGAGGCCCCAACCTGGCACAGCTGGTTGTGCAATAATCCCAAGAGAGGTGGGACATGGGACCACCCCACCAGCCGCCCACTGAGGACATAGGAAATGGACACCCCGGGCCCCAGCCCAGTCGCCAGGAGTCCCACCCCCTCCAATGCTGCCTGGACCCTCCTAGTGGGGAGCAATTTTAGGGCAGGCCAGGCCGCCATCCGGAAATGACAGGACAGAGGTGACAGGCAGCGCAGTGGGTAGGAGAAGCGCAGAGTGAAAACCAGAAGGCACCCCAGATCCCAGACCAGCTCCGAGCCAGGCCTGCAGAGACACGCTGACCTCCGCGCCCGTGTCAGGCCCACTCCAGCAGCAAAGTGGGCGACACCTGCACCCCCCCCCCCACACAGAACACGTTTCTTCTCAACCGCAAAAAGTTGGCGTTCCCAGAAAGGCCCAGGGCCCCGCCGGCAGTTACGGGGTGCTTTGGAGTGTAGGATGAAAACCCAGTGCCCCCAGTCCCGGTGACCCCAGGAGTCCTTTCTGAGGACGAGGACCAGATGTTTTGTGCTGAAGTACAGCCAAGCGTGCAGCTGGGACTGGGGGCCTTGGTCGTGGAATCTGAAGGACGCAGAGCAGGCCTTGACCGCCAGCCACACAAGGTCCCAGGGCCCCAAGATCGTCCCTGCCAACCCATCTCGGCTCACCCCCATCCCTGTTCTCCCCAAACTTCCAGCTGCCCAGCCCTTTTCCTTGTGGCTCCACCTCCCCAGCCAACCCCTGTCCATGTTCTACTCTGCGCCCCGCCCTTCTCCTCCCCAGCCAATCCAAGTCCTAGTCCCATTCCTCCCCTTCCGCCTCCCAGCCACACAGCTCTCCCTCCTGCGTCTCCTCCGGAGTCCCGCCCCCAGTCCGGCCCAGCCTTCCCCAAGTCCCGCCCTCCTACCCCCACCCCTTTTCTGGCTACAGCACCCAGATTGGGTCCTCAGAATTTTCTCCCAACCCATGCAACGGTCACCATTAAGCCTATCCATCCAGTGGCTCCGCCCCAAACGTCCCTCAGTTTTCTCACAACGGTCCCAACCTGCTCCCCGATTTCCTCCGAGCCCCGCCCAGCAGCCCTTGCAGTTTCACCGTTGCCCCGCCCATTATGAAGCCCCGCCCAGCAGCCCTGCTGTTTCTCCGTGGCCCCGCCCATTCTGAAGCCCCGCCCAGCAGCTCGTGCAGTTTCATCGTTGCCCCGCCCATTCTGAAACCCCGCCCAGCAGCCGCGCAGTTTCACCGTGGGCCCGCCCAGCAGCCCGTGCCGTTTCTCCATGGCCCCGCCCATTCTGAAGCCCCGCCCAGCAGCTCGTGCAAGTTTCATCGTGGCCCCGCCCATTCTGAAGCCCCGCCCCGGCCCGGCGGCTTCTTCCCCCTAGCCCCGCCCTCATCCGGCTCGGGTTTCCGCACAGCGCAGTCGCCGGCGCCTCTGACCTTCCTCAGCCCTCTGACGTTTGCACCTCCTCTTCTGCATCTTAGTGACCAACGCCTCCCGTGAACTCCCGAAGGTACCCTACCCGCAGCCTTCCGACAGATGCCTGCCTCCAGCCTTTCTGGCCTCCCCCCAACCCCCACAGCCCACCGCCTTCCGGATCCCCGTGGGCCCGTCCCTGCTCTGTTTCTTTAGAGGCCCCAACTGCAGTTCCAGGCGACGACTTCCGGGGCGCCTGTCGGAGCTCCTGGGGACCCGCCTGCGTGCAGGGGTGCGGGGCGTGCGGCGTTCCTGTGCGGGGACGTGCTACGTGTGCACGGACGTGCGTTTGATGCAATCACAGGTCGCGTCGAAAGCGGAAGTGTTCCGGGTTCCTAGCGCCGGTGCTTGTGGCCGATCCCTGGTCTCCCGGTGGCGGTGGCCGCGTCCGGAGGCGGGCTGTGCGCTCGGTCCTGTCTCTGCCGCTGCGTCGACTCCTCGGCAGGGCGGGAAAGCGCTGTTGCAGGTCCTGTGGTACCCTGACTCCCCTCCCCCATCCCTCCACCCGGTCCTCTCCTCCTGCCGCTGTCTGCCCGGCTCCTCCGGACGGAGCCTCTGAGATGCGGGTCCCAGATGCCACGTGGCGCATCTTGCCACACCTGCCATCCTGAGCGTGCATTCCACCCAGAGACAGGAGTGGCCTCCGGGGACACCTCTACACACGCATCCCCCCCATCCTGTGCCCCTTAGGCTGTGACTTCACCCAGGCTCCAGGCAGGACAGCACTGAGGGCGCTGGGTGGTGAGAGTCCAGACCCTTCCAGGGGACCTGGGGACAGGAGGGCGTCATGACCTCTACGATCTGGACTCCTTGACTCCGGCAGTATTTTGTGCTCCTGTCCCAGGTCTCACCTGGCAGGAAGGAGAAATACCCAGGGTTGGTGGCAGAACCCGTGGGGGCGGTGCATTTGGTGCATCGGGGCCTCGTGAGGTCTGAGGCAACTTTGTGGGGGTCAGTTGTCTGCATCTCTTTTGGCACCTGCTGGGCATGCCCCTCTTGTCTCTCTGCAGCTGACAGGTGGAGGCGAGCAAAGCACATTCGCCTGGCACTACCAAGCAAGTTCTCTGCAGCAGGAGGCAGGAGGGCATTCAGCCTTATTCCCACCTTATCCTTGGCTCAGCTCGAGGCTTAGGGTTTCCCTGATGACAGGAGGATGGCCCAGGGAGCCAGAAAGTCGCATAAAGGCATGTAGTCATCTCCCGGTGGACACATGGAAGGGACCAAGAACCAGGGACCGGAGCCAAGTGGGGCGAGCGGGAAACGGAAGACAGCTTGCAGCCAAGAGAACCTCGCCTTTGAGAACAGCCAGATTTATTCCAGCAACAGAGCGCTGTTGGAGTTGGGGTTATGGATGTAAAGATAGAGAAATGACTGGAGTGGGCTGCTGGTTGGATTGGATGAGGCCCCAGGCCTTACCTGTGACTCCTGGTGTCAGGCCTGGGCTTGGTGCCCTCTGGGTTTAGTCTCTGTCCTGGCGTTGAAGTGAAGGCAGACTCATACTGGGTGTAGTTGGGCAGACAGTTTCCAGCGGGGGTCCTGCTTCTCCAAGGACATATTTCTGTCTTCCAGCAAAAAGGTGGCCCATGAGGGGTCATCAGGACTTAGATGATGTTACGACCCCAGGGATTTGTGCTCGGCAGCTCTAGAGTGGGGACTCGGGACTTTGGAGTGTGCTGTGCCTTGGTGGCAGGGCCAGCTTGCTGAGCACCTTGGGGATCAGGAGTAGAAGCAAAGCCTAGGATTGTTCTTATCCAAAGTAGAGGAGGCCTGAAGCTGGAGGGAAGGCAAGTGGCCTCTAAAGGACCTCTCTTTTTTTTTAATATTTATTGTTATTTATTTATTTATTTGATAGATCACTGTGGGGTACGGTTACAGACTTACAAATTGCCATGCTTACGTTTCAGTCTTACAATGATCAAGTGATCATCCCTCCGCCAGTGCCTGTTCACCACCAATGCTCCCAGTATCCCTCCCATCCCCCCCTCCGTCTTCCCCCTGCCCTCCCTCCTTCCACCTCTGTGACTGCCACATTCCCTTTTACTCTCTCCTTTAGGGTGTTGTGGTAAGGGACTTCTCTTACTCCTCAGCTCCTCCAGGATTGGTGACCTCTGTTGTATAGCTGATGTCATGCCAGCCTGCTTGTGCCTTTCTCTGGTTGTCCTGCCCTCCGCCACGGCCTTTCCAGAGATGCGATCTGATGGAAGAGCCTACCCAGCTGCCATTACTCTTTGGGGCCTGGAACTGTGTGTGCAACAGAAGTGTCCACACTTGCCTCACCCCACCCTCTCTGTCATTGGGGTATTCAGGAGGTCAGGCCCTTGGCCATGATCTGCACCAGTGCCTGGTGCTAACTGGAATTCCTTTTGTTTCCATAGGCCACCGGAGACCCAAGGAACGCTGGGAAATGAAATTCGACTGCCTCTCCTTCCGCCAGCCTTATGCTGGCTTGGTCCTCAGTGGGGTCAAGACCTTGGAGACGCGTTGGCGCCCCCTGCTGAGGGACCATCAGAACTGTACCATTGCCATTCACATAGCCCACAGGGACTGGGAAGACACGGCCTGGAAGCAGCTGCTGCTGGAGAGGCTTGGCATGAACCACACTCAGATTCAGGCCTTGCTGCAGGAAGGGGACAAGTTTGGCCGTGGAGTGATAGCTGGCAAGTGACTGTACCGAGACCTGTTGAGGAACCTTCAAGGTTTCCCGTCCAGTCCCTAGAACTTGCTTGGGAGTTCGATGACTTGTTTTCTTTTAAACCAGTTAGCATGGGTTCTGTGGGCTGGAGTGATAGTACAGCGGTAGGGCGTTCGCCTTACAAGCGGCCAACATGGCCAACCTGAGTTCCATTCCTCCGCCCCTCTCGGAGAGCCCGGCAAGCTACCGAGAGTATTCGATATGCCAGACACAGTAACAACAAAGTCTCCAATGGAGACGTTACTGGGCCCGCTCGAGCAAATCGACGATCAACGGGAGGGCCTTTACCTTACCTTTTAGCATGGGTTCTGTGGAATTTTTGATTCAATGTTTAGGTCACATCCAGCAGTATTCAGGGGCCACTCCTTGTGTCACTTGGCAGCCATATGCAATGCCAGTGATGGAACTGGGGTTGGCCATGTGCAAATCAAGTACCTTAACTCCTATACCATCTCTGCCCCCATACTTCTTTATTTCATTTGTCTTGGGAAGTTGGAACACGCCCAGCTGTGCTCAGGGCTTATTCCTGCTCTGTGCTTGGGAGTCACTTCTGGCAGTTCTCAGGGGACCACACAGAGTGCTGGGGATAGAAACCCGGTCAGTCATAGGCAAGACAAGTGCCTGACCCACTCTACTATCACTCGGGCCTTTTTCAGTTTCTGGGCAGCATCTAGCCAGTAGTGCTCAGGGATTACTCCTGGCAGTGCTCAGGATGTCCTATGTGGTGTCTGAACTAGACTGGGCCACATTACCCAGATTTCTTTATGCACTATCCCATTAAAGCGGCCTTGGGTACATGCTCTCCTCTGGGCCTCACTGCTGCTTTGTGATCTGAGAGACAGGGACTGCCAGTGATAGCAGGGTAGTTTGCAGTGACTTCCAGACTCAGGCTGCCTATGGGGTTCACCCTGAGCATGTCCCCTTAGTGCCTTGGGGTCTGAGTGCCCTCATCCATTCCTGTCATCTGCTGAAGTGTCCCTGCTCCCCTCAGTCTAGCTAGGGACTTGACAATCCTTGGAGGAATCACTGAGAACTGGGTGCACTTGTCTTCACTTCTCTCCCCAATTGTCCTCTCCCAGTATTTCCTGAACAGAGTTGGGCATGTTGTTCACCTCATGACTATCTGGAGATGTGATCTTCATCACTCGGGGTTGTCAACATGAATGACCTGGGTCACCTGGTACTCCCACTCAGGGCCATCTCTCCTGTTCTGTCTTTAGGGCATGATTTATGTAAGTGAAACATTTGGGTGTTTCTCTCTGTGCACAGGGCTTGTGGACATCGGGGAGACACTGCAATGCCCAGAAGACTTAGCTCCTGATGAGGAGGAAAAACTGGAAAATCGAGCTGTACTGACCGACCTGAAGCACAAGTACCTGACCTCGCTTTCCAACCCCAGGTGGTTACTGGAGCCCATACGTAGGCATGGTCGGAAGGGCATCTTCCAGGTGGACATCCCAGAATACCTGATCCCCTTGGAGCAAGAGATCTGAGAGGGAACGACTCCTGAGAAGGGGAGGGAAAGATCAGCTCCATCATGATCCTGTCACTAGTCCATCACTCCACAGGCCAGCCAGTGTGGTTCAGCCTGAATTATACTGCATTGCTGAGCGTGGCCCACCATAGGTTGGCCTTGTTCACAGATCTCAGAGCGAGGGACAGAGAGGGACCCTCTTGGTGAGCCCCTCTCTGGGGTCATGCACAGGTTTTCAAGGACTTTGACCAATAAGGATGAGGCAAAGCTAGGTAGTGTCCTGGAATTACCACTAGTTTTGGTCCTGGATTTATGGATTATTCCAAGAAATATGTTTTAAGAGAAGTAGTTAGAGATGGGGCTCATTTCTGTGCCCCCCTCCTGGGTTTGGCTCAAAATTCACAGAATATTCAATACACAGGGGACAGTGTGGACACTGGAGCAGGAACTGAGTGGCAGCCATGATCACCAGCTCTTGGTGGCATTGTTCACACTCGAGGGCATCAGTCTTAGAAGTGACATCTGTTGGACCAGATAGATCTCAAGAATCTGAGGGCATGTGTTGCATGTGTGTGAACTGGGCGAGTTCCTTGTGATGCGTGGTAACCGAAGTACCAGTAGGAACAGCTGAGCATTGATCTGGTAATAGCCTATGAGCACTGCTACGTTTTGTAACAAGTTTTAATAAAAGAGTAAAAAGAACTGAGCTTTAATATGACCCAGCAGTAACACTTCTGGGTCTATACTCTGGGAGCCCCAAAGTGCACAGCAGAAATGCCATCTGCACTTCTGTGTTCATTCAGGAGTAGTTACAATAGCCAGGATCTGGAAACAGCCCCAGTACCTGAGAACAGACCACTGGATAAACAAACTAAGGCACACCTGCATAATGGAATGCTATGCGATCACCAGGAAAAATGAGGTCATGAAATTTGCTTGCAAATGGATGGACATGGGGAGTATTATTCTGAGTGAAATGATTCAGAAGGAGAGGGACAGACAGAATGATTGCACTCGTGTGTGGGATATAAAAAAAAAAACATAGTATGAGACTAATAACCAAGAACAGAAGAAAGAGGTCGGGAGGACTGGTCCACATTTGGAAGCTTGCCACAAGTGTATGTGTATGTTTGGGGGACGGGTGAAGGGCAGTTAGGATAGTAAAGGGACCACATGACAATACTAGTTGAAAATGATCACTCTCAAGGGGCTGGAGCAATAGCACACTGGGTAGGCAGTTGCCTTGCACGCGGCTGACCCAGGTTCGATTCCCAGCATCCCATATGGTCCCCCGAGCATCGCCAGGAGTAATTCCTGAGTGCATGAGCCAAGAGTAACCCCTGTGCATAGCCAGGTGTGACCCCAAAACAATAAGTACCCAAAAGGAGAGAGAGAACAAAAGGGAATGCCCTGCCACAGAGGCAGGGTGGGATAGGGGGATGGGGGTGGGAGGGATACTGGGATACATGGTGATGGAAAATGGGCACTGGTGGAGGGATGGGTGTTTGATCGTTGTATAATCGAAACTCAAGCACAGAAATTTGTAAGTTTACAGCTGTACCTCATGGTGTTTCACTAATAAAATTTTTTTTAAAAAGTAAATTATCACTCTAGACAAGATCTGAGTGCTGAAAGTAGGTAAATGGATGTACATGATAACCTTTCAGTAACTATTACAAATCATATACCCAGAAGGGGTGTGTGTGTGTGTGTATGAGAGAGAGAGAGAGAGAGCGCGCAAAGAAAAGTATCTGCCATAGAGGCAGGCTGGGGTGCGGGGTGAGGAGTTGGGGTAGTGGCAGGAGTGAAATTGGGGACATTGGTGGAGGGAAATTTAACGGGTGAAGGGATGGGTATTGGAATATCCTATGACTGAAACCCAATCATGAACAACTTTGTACTGCGTATTTCATGGTGAATATTAAAATAAAAAAAGAGAAAACAAGAAATAACACCTGTCTATCCTTTCAAACAACTGTGATTTGCTGTTAGTGTTCATTGGTTCAAGGGGCCAAGTTGTAACCCATATTGTGCAGCTGCTTCGTAACTAGGGGACCCTCACTGACAATCCCAAGCAGTGTTTGTGAGAAGTCTTGTGTGTGTTACATTTCAAGGATGGGCACTTCCCCAGGCATTAACTACAGTGACCTGTTCTGAACCAGTTTACACCAGTCCTACTCCACGTGGCAGAAAGGAGTCCCAACTACTAGAGGTACCTAGGGACTTCCATTGCTGATCATGAACTTCCTGGCATCAGGCATCTCCTGAGGCATGACCCTCCTGTTGGAGATTCACCACCAATGTGAGGTGTTCCCTAAGTCAGTGACCAGGCTGCTGTGTCTCCTAGGCAGTAAACCTGGCTAGGGGACCAGACTTGCCTGGGCCGACCTCAGTGCTCAGGCAAATCCCAGCCTGTGTTGGAAAATGCAGCCACTTCTAGTGAAAAGGATACGGGACCAGAGTCTGTCTTGGCCCTCCTTCAGGGCTTACAGGTAAGAGGTGTATACAGTCGAAAATTAGAAAAAGCAAAGATTCTTAAGTAACATCAGATTATTGTTTCCCTTTTTCAAAGACTGAGAGAACAGTCAAAGTTCAAAGTGACAATTTACAGTAGTTATGTGTCGCTCAGTCTTCAGTTGTTGAGGATTTCTTGAGTTGATCACAGATTATACAGTTTATAACCCAAAGCACTCTCTTCTGACTCCTCCCCATCACTGACCTTCAACTCCTTCCCACCCTCATCCTCTGGTTCCTCTCCATTCCCATCCTCTGGCTTCTCTCCATCCTTGTCTGATTCCTTCTCCTCATACTTGTAGTCTGGCCCCTTCTCCCCATCCTCATCCTCTGGCCTTTTCTCCCCATCCTCATCCTCTGACTTTTTCTCCCCACTTCCATCTTCTGGCTTTTTCTTCCCATCCTTGTACTCTAGCTTCTCCACATCACCATGCTTTGACTTCTTCCCTTCATCATCATCATCATCATCAGGCTCCTCCCCTTCATCATTTCCACATGGAGACAGCACTGAGAAGTCAGGTAGTAGCTTGGTACAGGAAGTCTTGTATGATGGAAACACTGACTCATAGTCAGGGTACTCTGTGTGGCCCCTAGACACTTCCTCTCTGTCTCTCATTCTATTTGTTGAAGGTACATGAATGTTATTACTGGATGTTCCCTCCCCACTTGGTCCACCTCCCTCACTGAACCTGAAATATTCCTCAGAAGATTCAGCTGCAGCTTTCATGTAACAGCTACCTGATAAACTGAGTCCTTCTGAGAACATGATGCTCTGTATTGTAACTCCTTGATGAACTTCTGGTTCAGTTTGTTGGGCAGAGTGACTTATGCAGGATAGAGGGGGGTGTCTGGTAGCTACTGTGAACCCCCTTTGGCTGGGAGTTAGGGTCTTTGGGCAAGTGGTGGTTTGCAAGTTGACTTTTCTCTGGATGGTATCAATGAGCTGAAGTTGATCTCTCTGGAAGTTCGGGTGGTGGTAGACCTGGAACAAAATTAATGATGGCACTGACACTAGCAGTTAAAGTCCATTCTGACTGATTCTCAGCAAAGATAAAAGCTACCAAGTTTCAAAGCTGAGACATCGTGGCACAGGGGCCCTATTTGTTATACAGGGTCTCCATTTTGCTTCCCAGGAAGCACACTGCTGCAACGCAGGGGGTCCTCTTTATATCTCACTATGAGCATACAAAGACATCCTAACTCTAGTCATCTAGCCACACAACAGCACAAAATAAACGCCTCCGGACTGCAAAAGTCACGGTGAGGAAACAATGTAGAATCCCACCATCTTGGAGTGTGAAGATGGTAGCTCAAAAAACTGAACCAGTAATAACAAGCTATATAATCTCTCTGATAAGGACTTTAGAGAGGAAGTGTTGGATGTTTAAGGAGCTCAAGAAAGTAATGTAATGAATGGCCAATGAAACACAAGAGGATATGAGAGCAGAAATGAGGAAACTACAAACAGAAATGACAGAAGTGAAAAACTTGTTAGGTGAATTAAAAACTCACTGGAAGGCCTCACCAGCAGAGTAACAGTTGCTGAGGACAGAATAAGTGAGCTCCAAGATGAGGTGCACAAACCTCCAAACAACAACAGAACATGGGGGGAAGCCTCAGAATAAGTAAACAGCAGATAAGAGAACTTTATGATGAATTCAAGAGGAAGAGCAAAAGAATCACTGTGGTCCCAGCGGGCCAGGAAGGCAACTCTGAAAAAAAAAAAAACAGTCAAAGAGAGCACATGCACCCAAATCCAATAGGCTTATAGGTAATCAGCTTAGAGAGATTTAAATAATACTGCAAGATACATTCCTATAACAGAAACCATAGATAGAGATAGAATACTTTAAGCAGTAATATCAAGGACGGAAATTATATCAAAGGAGTGTCCTTAATATTTACCAAACAAAACCCTCCAGACCCAAACACAGTGGTGAATTATAGTGAAAAAAAGTAAATGAAATGAATTCTTTACCAAGAATACTTCCCCAGCCAGACTTTCATTCAGATCTGAAGGAAAAGCAGAACAACTCAAAAACTTTACATAATAGACTCAAAACCATCTTTACAAGAATAACTAAAGGAGCAACTTTAAGACAAGGTGAGTCCCACAAATACGCAAAAATCTGGCAGAAAGATGGCACAAAACTCCAGGATAATAATCTTTCTCAATGTCTATGGGATAAATGTACCAATTAAGAGACATAGTGATAGAATAATATATTAGAAAATTGAACCCTAGCTTCTGCTTCCTGCAAGAAACACATTTGAATAGTCAGAATAAACACTAACTCAAAGTTAAAGCTTGGAAAACAGTTCTTTAGGCAAAAAACTCCCTCCAAAAGGCCAAGGTGGCCATATATAGTATCAGATGACATCAACTTCAGGCTGAAAAGGGTAATAAGAGACAACGAAGGTAATTTCTTAGGATCGAATATCTGTAAATCAGAAGGAACTCACACACAAAGAATGTATATGCATCTATTGAGGGACCAGCAAAATACTTAAGTGCAAATAGACTTGAAGAAATATATTGATAGCAACACAGTACTAGTTGGAGACTTCAACACCACTCTGTCATCCCTCAATAGATCTATTAGATTAAAGCTTAGTAAGAAAACCAACGGGGGAGGGACAAAAGGCATCGGAACTTCCGTTGTACTGGTGA